CCGCTCCTCCCATTGTCCCGTACTGAAACCGCTCCCTTGGCGTCACGGTGCTTCAGCGATGCCTGAGCTGCGGTGCGTGGAATGGTCCAAGTCGTGGCGCTGGTGGGCAGGTGCTGTAGCCGAACTGATGGTTTAGGAGGAGGTCGTCCGAACCAACAAAGCCTGAAGTGCCAAGTGGGCTGTTGATTCATGTCAAATCACACCGACACACTGCATCAGAATTCCAAGCAAGAGTGGTCGGATCGAACGTACGCCATCACTTCCGCTGAAGGAGACCTTAGAGGTCAACTCCAGTGCACCAAAGACTGGCTGGATCTATATATCCCAGACACTCCATGTATGCCATATATGCCTATACATTGGGGTGGTTTTCAGGGTCAATGTAGGTATATATGGATTATGGCATGCATGGAGTGCTTGGGTATAGTGTTTGCAAACCTAGACTCTCAACAAGCCCAGGCATGGACCACGCACTCTAAAGAAAAATATCATCGGACTTCTTCGTGACAAAGGAGCAAAACAAACATTTTTCCGGTTCAGCCTCCGAATTCCTGACGATGATGTTAACCATCATAACCAGCACGTCCTCAAACCATCCCAAAAACCCTGCAAAAAGCCCTCACAACCCACGTCCTGGTGTGTCACTGGACGGCTCCGTTCTGACTACCTACGCCCAGTACGGACCGACCTGATCTGTTCGCCGCGCGGCGGAGGACTTCCTCTTCCAAAGGCTTGGAGCTGGTGGTGTCCAAGACCACCTGAGCCCGTTCCAGCGTGGACGCTCAGCGGAACGCAGGGTGCGGAATGTCGTCGAGAGGGGCCAAGGGGGGGGGGGCCGAATCAAATCACCAGCACACAACCTGGACCTTTAAAAATCAACCGAACCTCAACAGCAACTGCAAAAGCCTTCGGGATAGAAACCATGTCCAGTGCCCTTGGTGAGTGTCTCACCCAAAAAACACACACAAAACCGTGGATTCTCATCCTCCTTTCCACTTGCTTCATCTGGCTTATACAAATCAAGGCTATTATGCACACCCCAACAGCCCCACTTCACTAAACGGTCTTTTGCTGCAACTTTTGCTCGGCACCGAACGAAATCCTATTCCATCTATTCCAACCCCAGTTCTCCTTGACTAAACCGACGACCTCTCCAAACCCATCCAAACCCTCCGTTCAGCTCCATTCAACTCCCAAGCTCCATTCGTCCCCCACCTGCAAGTATCGATCGAAAGCCCCCACCAGCACCTCATGCTCCTGCACCCTCCAGCCCTGCTCATCCGCCGGCGCCAGCTTCGCACGCTCGCCCTCGCTGGCGTAGCTGCACGCACCGAAGGGGTTGCCCAAGACCGTCGAGCCTCAGAGGGGCCGGGCGCTCGCTTGGCGCCGAAAAGGGATGTCAAGGAAACAAGAAGGAACTGACTTATGAAAGAGGGGGAACCAAGAAGTGAGGTAGGACTTGGATGTGTTTAACGCGTTTCAAGTTTTGGGCCTCATGGTCAGAGAACAGCCAGAACGCCCTGAGGTGAAGCAAAGGTCACAGGGGGTTGGTGATTCTTGTGCCACCATGGGCAAGATTGGGAGCCAAACTCCAATGTCTGAAGACCTCTCCAGCACAGGAGACTGTTTGAGGAAAACATTCGGACCAAGATCCGTAAGAATACCTCAGGGTTCCATAACCCTTCTGAGAAGGGTGCTGAGGATATTTGGGGTGGATTGGGAGGCTAGTCTAAGTAAGCCTAAGAAGGACATGTCCAAGCCTCAACATAAGTTCTCAACGTACATAGATATATATATATATACAACATGGTCTCAACAAATTTAAGCTGGCCTCAACATTCCTCAACATGTCCAAGCTCTGCGCAAGTCGAAAACAACGCACCCAGCGAATGACGCTGCAAAGGCTGGCGACCGAAACATGATTCAACTAGCACTCACTCATATGGTGCATCTCGTCATTTGTCAACGCTGGTGCCAATGTGGCGCCCTATGGCTGGTGACATGGCCATGCCACCTGATACAAGCAGAATCGTTGAAACCCATGCAACTCCTATGTCACATAGGAGCTGCATGGGTTGAAAACGATTCTGCTTGTGTCAGGTGCGCCTGGCCATCACCTTTGCGCCTACGTATGCCGTTCATCTTTGGTTTCCAGCCATGTGATTGTGCGGCGAACACCTCATTCTTCATCACACCTTCATCCCAGCCGGCACACCAAGAAGCACCGCTTTCTTCGGGTCTTGGAAGTTGCCCCATCCCCCCCCCCAAAAAAAAAAGGAACTGGCGAAGATCCAGAAAATCCAAAGGCCAGTGTGTCCAACCACCACCCTCAAGGCTTGAGGGTCCGTGATGAGGAGCAAACCACGAATTACTGGGAGAAATGAGAGTTCGTTGTCCACTGAAGCTGAGTCTGAAAGTTCCAAAAAGTAGAACACTCACTCTGCAGAACTCATGTATCAGCCCACGCAAGCACACTAGTCGAGCAAGGACTTGGAACAATCCTTTAAACACATAAGTGTACAGTTCTGCTTCATCTCCAAGAGCACGAACAAAGTAGGGCCACATCACAATACGTGACGCAAGCGGAAAACACTCATACCACCTCTCCAGCTTTCCTTTCCCTTAATAAGCCTACCACGGGCGCTCGTCCGTCAACTCGAGAAATGCCGGCCAAGCGAGACCCGACCCGACGCCCTTCCCAAGCCCCCGTCGCTCCATGGTGCAAGGAGCGGTTACAAACCACGTCTGTGGTGCCAGAAGGTGGCAAATCCCAAAACATGGCATGCTCCACCACGCCCACAGAGACTTGACCTGCAGTCCACATCCCGCAAGGTCCCGCAGTGCACATCGCGTGGTGCACTCCTCTTTCTATGGAAACGACATGGAAACGACATGGAGGCGTCTCCGAAGAGGCGTCTAAATGGAAAATAGATCCACCATCTCATCCACTGAAGCGTCGTATTCAACTAACCTCCACGAGGGAAACCTGCAGGTTTCGTAGGTTTGTTCCAAAAAACGTCCTGATTGCATGAAGAATGAATGGATGGATGGGGACATATGGCTTGATCGAGTTGTAAAAGGCCTAAATTTCCGACCCTCCAGTATCCAGGTGCAAGCATTGGGTCAAATATGGTCAAATCTCTAAGTGGGCCTGCAGTATTAGAAGCAGAATAAGATCCATTAAGATCTCCAAAACTTGACTAGAACATCTTAAAAGACATGCGCATGAACCAAACTATACAAATGGGGTCTGAGTTCTGACTCTCATGATTTTAAAATTCAAGTCCAGTGTTCTCTCACGATCCCCCATTACCACTACCACTACTACTACTACTACAACTACTACTACTACTACTCCTGCTACTACAACTACAACTACAACTACAGTACTACTACTCATATCGCACGTCTAGCCGTCATCTCCCCTCGCCAGACCGTCTGCCCTCCCTCCCCCGTCCGTCCTCCCCGCGCCTTTCCAATGCTCCGCCACCTCCGTCGGCCAGGGCCAGGCCCGAAGCTCAGATGGAGTGTGCGCGAACCTCAGGAGGGACGGGGCCACCGGGGCCTGGCCGGGAGACACGGGGAAGGATGTGAAGACCATCATGATCTCCGTAGTGGAACAAAGAAGAACAAACAAGAAGTGGTTGGTGGTTGCTGCTGTTGTGGTTGCCCATAGTCCCAACTTACACATGGAGCTTCAACAGCTCCAAATCCTCCCTGCTGATGAGTGAACAAGGGCCTCGCGCGTGCGAAGCCCCTCCTTGACCAGATCTCACTGAGCTCCAAACGTGCAATACTCACCCAAGCCTCAGAGCTGCGATACCCAGGACCAGACCCTTTTGGATGGTTCTTGGGGTGTGTTATTGAGATGTCCAGATTGTCTATAGTTGTGAAACCATCCAGCAACTCTTACAACAAATAGGACCTGCTTAGATCTCATGAGGTCTCAGGTTCACCTAGTGGTCATCCTCAAAGTTGTGCTCACAAGTCGCACTACCTTTGAGAAAACCTCTCAGGGAAATCCAAAACCAAGCACAGGTCAATTGTCTATCTGGTCGATTTCATTGAACCGATGAGCGCGCCCTTTGTTTTGGACCCATTGTCCAGCTCCATCCTGCTCCATCTGATGTGCTTCGTCGCCGGAGCGCTCTTCGCTCACGCGGCCCCCCGAAGACACGCGATGCCCCCCTAGCCAAGAGTCTGCAAGGCGCTTGTGCTATGATCGCCTGAAGGAAACACACACACACATCCATCAACACAATTAGATGGGTAGTTGCCCAGAACGTCCAACGTCGTCAGGCGCCGGTGGCAGACATGTCAAAAGCCTGAGGGGAAAAAAACAAAACAAAAACACAGGCACCTCGCAGCGTCATACCCTGGCAATATAGTTGCATTAGTATCATAGTCATATCATAGCGTTATATCTGACTAATTCAAAACTTGACATGCTTCACTCTATAGACACACCAGGAGCGGCCTTGGATAGAGTTCTTGGCATGCCAAGGGGCTTTGCATCTTCGGGTCTTGTAGAGATCTGGAAAGGACATGGCGCAACCCGAACCAGCGCAGGATCATTCCATGCTATCACGCTAGGCGCTGACGAAATGGGGACACCGTGTTTGGAGGCTTTGTGGTCGATCTCCACTGCTGGTCACCTGTTAGTTAGGCGGTTGTCGTGCAGATGGAAGAGGAGATTGGCATCTAGACGAATCTATATGTGGCCTCATATGAAGCTCTTTGAGCCATAAAGAGCCGACAGCATCGCAGTCAAAGGAGCTGTGAGCTATGCTTTTCCTGAATGCAGCACACCAAAATGTGCATGGCTGGCAGGACTTTCCCAACCACACCAACTACTACACCATACTGCACCACTTCCAGCAATTCCAAGGGCTTTTTCAAGAACTGTCCTCAGGTCCTTACCCATCCAACCCCAGTCTTTGGCCACGTTTTGGGTCCCATCTGGCGGGCTTCCCTGTGTCTCCTCAGCCCCCCTCCGCTGCCTCGGGTGCGTCCGCTGCCTCGGTGTCCTCGGGCTTCGCGCCGAGCCTCGGCGACCGGCCATCGCCGAGATCCGCCGCGCGGAGCGTGATCCGCGCTGGGCGTGGACGACGGGTCCGGAACAGAACGTCCGGAACGGAGAGACGATCCAAAGGACCCTGTTTTGTGTTTTTTGCGCTGCAAGGCCCTTGGGGGGCAGGGATTGTTGCCTAAAATAGAGGACACTCCTTCTATAGGTCGATATAGAAAAGGTTCAGTTCAGGATGGCTCAAGACTGAACACGCAAATCAGGTAGAGCTAGGAAAAAACCGTCGCGATGCAAAACCCTGGGGAACGGCAAAGAAATGAACATCAGAATCATTCCTTGGGCCAATTCGAGCGGGGCTTTCTGTTGGTGCATTCGAACCTTGCAAATGGCCCAAGGCAAACGATTCAATGAAGCTAAGGTGAGCCCGGAGCGCTGAGAATTGTCCAGCCATGCCAGGCCTAAGGGTGTGAGCTGCCACTAGAGTCACTAGAATATGAAATGGCTTTGTAGGCGGTGATATGTTCAGTCGCTTCGATCGCACCACACCCATCCCCTGGCCGGAAAGTCGAGCAGCTGTGATAGGAGAAGATCGGCTGCCTGCTTCATCGCCTCCAAGGGTCTCGTCGGGTGTCGGGTGTCATCTGGAATTTGGGGTGTTCGTGGCGGTTGGTGGAAGGACCAAATGCTTTTCCCCAACGAATCCAATTGCACAGGCCGACTGGCCATCAAGGTTGAGACTGGCCCCTCGAACCCACTTTTCACACATCCACCACCACTATTGGGGCAAAGCGTAAGAATGAGAAAACATGTGCCTAGGAACAAACGGAACAAACATCTGAATTCAGCCATGAACTTCGTCACATCCAACATCATGCAACATGGTGCAACAAAACACTCTTTGAGATTCTCAGAGGTTCTACGAGTGAGATGTGCTCTTGCCAGCCAGAGGGAACCACAAGTTCTTGCGGTGCCCAACATCCACAACATCACTGGGAGCTTTGCCGCTTACAGTGGCAACATCTCAGGTGCTGAAATGAAGCCTTTCAACAACTCGTGCTCAGGTGATGCAGTGGGAGAATGAGATCAAGCAAAATGAGCAAGAAGGAGCTGCTGAATAAGGACAACTAGACCAAGGACATGCCAGAAAAGTGGCTGACCAGGCACAACTTGATTGACCAATGGTAAAGCCAGCACCGTGGAACACCAAATCAATTGCCACATCCAAATTGAAACCATGGCTTTCGTGGCCCTTTTTGATGCACTCTGCTCCTGGGCCCTTGCCAATTTCACATTTTGCAAGTGAATGCATATTGGTGAGGCCAAGTACCTCCTGAGGATTCTTTGCAGCGGTAACTGTGCTTGAACAGAACTAGGTCTTTAATGCACATCCGGATCACACAGAACCCATGCAGGTTAATTTTCCACTTGGGTTAATTCTCCAACTCCTTGAAAGCATGGGCGCAATCACTTTGTTCCTTCGCCACCCAGGTCACCCTACTGTCTGACAGGGTCGTCTGAGACATGCTGAGCTTGAAGAGGGTAAGTAGGAGCCACCTCTCCTCCACTCTCGCTTCGCAAAAAACGCCTCGTCCTCTTCTGCTCCATCCGCCTGCAAGTCACATCCAAAGAGTGTCAAGGCTCGAGATAGGACCCTGGGAAGCCAATCCAGCGAAGCCAGGATTCATGTAGGCAACGAATGAGTCCCAAAACTCAAAATGACCGGATCCTCTGGATCCTCTGGTTGGATGAACGGATCATTAATTGGATCTGCCACCTCTGGGAAGCCGATCTGCAATCTACTGCAGTTCGCCCAACATGTGTTCCATGCGTCCACTGGTCACAACTCCTGAGAAGTCGACGAATTATGACCCGTAGAGAATACTGATTGGGCTGCAGTGACCCTAGGTTGGGAACTCCCCATTGAACACAAAGATACTTTAAGGATTACTAGTATATAGCTTGGATTTGCTTTCCCCCACTATAACCCATACACTCCACGGGACTGGAATGTATGCCGCCCCATTCACCCCCCTGGCACCACCCCAACTGATCGGCAGTCCTATGGCAGTCCCATGGAGCGTCGCGTCTGGGTAAGGGGATTCACCCAGCTCGGAGAAATAAAGACCCGATCTGCAAAACCAGGATCACCTTCTGAACGCCGCTTTCTCCTTTTTCTCCTCGCCTCGGCGACTTCAGCCACCTCGGCCTCTGCCTGTAAGGCACTCTCAATCGAAGCCTCTTGCGCCTCGGTGGACGCGGCGAAGCTAAGCTTAAGCCTCGAAGCCTCCCACCCCACCTGTGACACCCATGGCATGCCAAGGCAGGAATTACACATTATGTATCAAAAGAACTTCAAGGCCAACAGCTGAAGAGCGCCCTCACTCTCCACCGATGCTCTGCCTTGGCCTGCCGCAGCTGCGCCAGCCGGGAGCCTTTGCCAGGCCGGCGTTTGGGGCGAGCACCTCGGTCGGCCCGGCGGCGTCCCGACTTCTCCAAACATTCAGACTGGTGCAACTCGTAGGGAATGAGGGTGGCCGGACTGGCCACATCCAAGCCCTGAAAAATGCCTAAACGAGTCTCACCAGTCAGCAATCGACTTTTCTTGGAAGTGGGGTGGATTGACTGAAGGACAGTAAACCTTGCCATTGTAGCAGTTCCGCCAAAGTTCCATCTGCCCGAAATAAACACCGTATAATATACGGATCAAAACTTTGATTCACCAAGGTAGTATTCGCAGGTTTTGGCCAAGAGAGGGGTGATGGAAAACTGCCGTAAAAACTAGTAGTCAGGGCCAGTAAGTTGCAAACAAACAGCCATTAACCCGTCTACACTCATTGCATGTCAGGCCCTTTGGTGTGAGACCCATTGAGACCCAGGGTGATCCTGACCGACGAAGCGCTTCACGCTTCAAGAGTCCAAGTGCCCACACGTTCTGGTCGCTTCTTCTTCACCAAGTAGACCTCCAAAGGAACCTGCGTGACCCAAAGGCCCAGTCACATTCCTGGAAAACACCTGGAAATCACCCAGAGCGTATGGGCAAAAACAGGTTCTTCATGAGTGTAATCTTCAGGCACGGGATGAACACGAATAGTAGTCTTTTCAAAGTTTTTCTCGCCCATCGATATGATCCGATATCTGGATGCCCGTGCGCAGTGAAACATGCGAGGAGCGCCTCAAAAAGCCCGACAAGCCCCGGGAGTTGTCCAATCAAAGTCCAACCTCCCCACCAAAGTATAAACTTGTCAACAAACCAAATCCAGAACCTTGAAACCTAGGAGCCCCTTGGCTGCTACAGTACATGGTCTGGAACCCATGTTCCCACCAGGTAAGGGTGCTGGCTTCGAGTTTGTTGGGTCGGTCCCCTTCACCGATGATGCGCTGCCCTCCCGACTGGACTGCAAAAGGGCGGAGGACAGTTGTGATCTACAGTAGAGATGGCACAAACCCAAAAGTGTCTTTTGGGTGGGAGTCCATATAAACAACCTTTTGGGGATTGTGCCATCTATATAATACTCTGAAACTACTGTATTTACCAGCGCCTAGGCCCATTGCCTCACTCTATTTCCTCCCACTGCTGAGGCCAGTGCGGCACTAAGTTCTTCATCGTCCACACCTTACACGCGGTCGCTCCGCTGGGAAACGCACGCCATTTCGTTCACCAGCCGCTGTTTGACCGTTGTGAGACCTTCCTAGCTTTGTTCAGAAGTGCTCTGCTCATCTCTCCTGTCTGTCTTCCTCACTCTGCCTCCATGTAAACATAGTTGCATATCATATCTGTTCTTTTCCAAGCGATTTCCTGCAATGAAGCAATGTCAAAGAAAGAAGGCGTTGGCATAGCCAAGGTGAAACCACGAAAGTAACATGTTTGGTTTAAGGCTGCATTATAGATTCAGAAAGATGTCGTATATATATATATAAAGAATGCGTCACCAAATCAAAAACAGTCTTTGTACACATGTGTGATGCGGCCAGTTTCGCCTGGGACAACCACACGAGCGATGACAATAGCTCACCCTGTTCACAGTCCTAGGTTCAAGAATGTTGCCTTGCAGGATCATCGTCACTAGCACATGCCCAAGTAACTTCGCCTCATGGTGAAAAAGGGACTATGCCGACAAAAACCACATTTTGTCTTATGCACTGTGCGTTTAATGTGCACATTTCTGAAGAACTGCAGGATCCTTGCATTATCATATCTATCTAAGAAAGCCGGTGCGTTCTTCGGATAATTTGAGGCTTGCCTCCGGTCAAATGAGTTGATGTTTGTTCATCATGGCTTGTGTGAGGTGGACAGTGTAAAACCTGTGGCAATTTTATGATCTCTGTTAAAAATTTATCTGCTGATTTCATTGCCAAAGTATATGTAGGTGGTCTCACATCGTTTCCGGAACAGTTCTGGACTTTCAAAACAGAAAACATCATGGTCATTCCGATTGTCACATATATTTGTCTTGGCTTATATATGCGTAAATGACACTTTCCTTAAGAGAAGTGCAAACTGAACCCCATGCCAAGCTACGAGGTTGGAGGCCATCGCTATTTGGTTGGAATCTAGTAGGTTAGAGGCCATCAACAATGTAAAATGTGTGCGCCACATTTTCATGTGACGCCTTATGGTCATGCCCGTCATTCCTCTCAAACGACCCACGCCCGCCTTTCCTCTAAAGTGGGTATCCCAAAGGCCAAGATTGGTGGTTTCACAGTAGATGGCACGATCTCCAAAAGGTTGTTTATTTGGACCCCCAGCCCGCCCCCCAAAAAAACACATCTTGGGGGTTGTGCCATCTACTCTGAAGCCACCGCAATGTCTTTTTCTGCCGAGAAAATGCAATACTAATCGCCTCCCTTGCCTTTGATATTGATCTCCAGGTTTGCTGTGCTAAGCGTAGTTGGTGATGACGAGCTTCTGTCATCCTCCTTTTCTGTGCTGTAGGCAGTTTCCCTGCATTGATAGCCATTTGGTAGAGAAGTGCAGAAGATCGAAGTCGGCAAAAGATTTCGGAGAGAAGCTTGAGTACGTGTATGTTTAATATCGTTGGTGGGTTTCCTTGTCTTCGATGGGTGCAGGTTGAACTTCTTGGCTGCTGTGCAGTAGCCGTCGTGTTCTTGTTTTGTGTGTTCATGAACTTGTGATTGATATATAAAGCCAGTCCGTGATCCTAGTCCTGTTGTAGTAGGACGCCCGTGTCGGCCACGATTTCAAATAATGCAAGCCGCCCATACCATCGATGAATTGGTTGTGGCATTGTTTCTTGCTGGTTGTTGGTTCGCTCTGATGAGCTGGCGCCAATCTGAGTGATTCCAGTCCAGGTCATGCCATATGTAGTGCCATATGTAGGCTCAACAGCTGCATCTGTAGGAGTGGTTCATGTTCTTGTTGCTCAACATTCCTCTTGGATTTCCGCTCTGCTTGTGCTGTCTTGGTCTCGGCTTCCTTGGTCACTCGGTGTGGTAGTGCAGCTGCAATTTGATAGAGAGCTTTTGCTGCTGGCTTCGGTGCCATAAGCATCTGCTTGCATTGCAAAATGCTAGACAACCTCCAATGATCTCGAAATAACACCTCCTCGCAGCACCAAGGATGATTCCAATAGTTGACATCTCTTGCAGTCTGACAACTCCACAAACCACAAGACCATGAGCCAAACTCCCTTCCTCTCCCCCTGAAGCTTCCCTTAAGCTCCCGGCGCGCGCCGTTCGACGCTTCGCTTGGCTCCGTCCGTCCAGGTGCCCCGAGCCCATGAGGTGCAGCGTCCGCAGGTCGTAGCCCAGGACCGAATCACCCACCTGCAGCTTCCCACCGCCTGCGGTTCGGAGCGCGCGCGCGCGCGCGCGGGCGGAAGCTTCGAGGAGCTGGTGGAAGAGGAGCTCCAGAAGGGTGTGGTGGATGGGACGGGAATTGGTGCTGGAGAGGTTAGTTTAGGTGGTCGGTGTGCTAGAATTGAAGGACGTGACATTCACTGGCATTGGTTGACATTCATCTGAATCAACAAACGATTAAAACACATAAAACAACTAAACTATAGACGCTTGCTGGAGCCAAAAACCACCCCAAAATAACATAAAAAGGGTGGCATGTACGCCTCCAAATGTTCGACGCCGGTCTTGACACATTTCTGCAGCCAATCGACCAGGGACATGTTGTGACACACTGATCACACATCCCGCAGTGTTCGAAACAGCATCCGCAATCTATGCACAAAGGGACAAAGCAAACATTTGCTTTGGAATGCGTTGTGATTCAGGCATCTGCGCTCGGTTGAACACTTGTGATTAGGAAAGCTCCTAAAGCCTCCAAGTATCTCCAAGTGGTTCACGGCTCATGTAAAGAGCGGGAAGGTGCCCTGCTCCGAAATCAAAACCAGCCTCTGAAGCATTTACTACTTCGTCCCACTGCACGTTGGATGTTCTTCCACTTTCTAGATGCATTCTCCCCGCACAAATCCTTTCAAAGCGCACATGGCCACCGGAGATGACGCGACAGTCATGAAGCTGGCCTAAGTGTGATCGCACGAGAAGGCGCTCATCCTCAGCGTGAGCGACTGAAGCTGATGGACAAGGTGATCGGGAAGACGTCCGATTGAACATGATTCAACTACCTTTGCTTGAGGCTTAAGAACTTAAGAGATTTCTTGGGGCGATTCTAGATAGAAGCGTGCATCAGCTCGTAATTGTCAATTATAATTTTATAAAAAAACTTTCATATGGTAAGGCCAGAATCCTTGATTTAAAAAAAAAGTCAAAAAAAGTCAACTGGAAAAGTCAAAGTCAAAAAAAATCAAATTGAAAAGTCAAAAAAAGGTCAAAAAAATACAAAAAAAAAATCAAAAAAATCAAACATAAATAAAAAGAAACAAAAATGTCCAGTCAAGCGACTCAGGAGCAAAAGAAAGTCGGCATATATATATATATGGAAACACAGGCAAAGAGGACAACAACATTGAACTAAACTAGTAACAAGCTCATAAGTCAGCCAAGGCAAATTGCAGCCTTTTTGCTTATGGCTTATGGCTTTCAGTCTATTAAAAATTCTAGAACCTTTTTGGTTGTTCAACTTTCACCTTTTCCAGCCCCAACCCCCTACCCCAGAGTCGCAGGACCCCTACCCAGCCCCAGCCACTGTCCCAGGGTCTCTTCAGCCCCAAGCCAGCCCTGTCCCTGGTGGCCCTGGTAGCCACCCCAGAGTCCCAAGTACCCAGCCCTGTCCGGCCCCAGAGTCGCGAGCAGAATTGACCTTTTTTCGACTTTTTTTGGACTTTTTTTTACTTTTTGTTGCCTCCAGTAATCCGCCAAGGCTAGGATCCGCGCTTGGTTTTCACATTTGACTTTTTTTGCCCTTTTTTGACTTTTTTTGGACTTTTTTTCGACTTTTTATTGACTTTTTTTTGACTTTTTTTGACTTTTTCCACGTTTGACTTTTTTTTGACTTTTTGTTGCCTCCAGTAATCCGCCAAGGCTAGGATCCGCACATTTGACTTTTTTTTGACTTTTCCAATTGACTTTTTTTTGACTTTTTTTTGCCGGCCCAGCCCCGCATGCCCCAGCCCGCCTGTAGCCTGCCTGAGCTCGACCTCAACCTGACCCCTCCGCCAGGAGCCAGCCGCAGCCAGCCCAACGCCTGGCCCTGGCAGCAACCTGCCCCAAAATTTGAGCAGCAGCTGGCTTGGGGCTGAAGAGACCCTGGGACAGTGGCTGGGGCTGGGGATCCTGCGACTCTGGGGTAGGGGGTTGGGGCTGGCTTGGGGCTGGAAAAGGTGAAAGTTGAACAACCAAAAAGGTTCTAGAATTTTTAATAGACTGAAAGCCATAAGCCATAAGCAAAAAGGCTGCAATTTGCCTTGTTACAAGCTTTTCCTTGACTTGTTTACCTATGCAAAGTTTTTGTTTGACTTGTTTTTTTACTTTTTGTTGACCGTTTAATTTTTTGACTTTTTTGACTTTTTTTTGACTTTTTTTTTGACTTTTCAATTTGACTTTTTTTGACTTTGACTTTTGGGATTGACTTTTTTTTAATTTTGAAAACAGGTTCTTTCCAATGAAAGTTTTTATAATTATAATTTCCATCCATTGTGCAGTCTAATTATGTGTGCTTTTAGTGGGGTCCGCCAGTTTAGAACTCTATCAGTAGAACCCTGCTGGCAGCCACATAGAGTATGTACAAATAAATATGTCTCAGCATGATGAAAGCCCATACACCCCTCGTAGAAGGGAGGCCATGTTTGGAGGGAACACCACCATACTTTAATAATCTAGTAACATCAGTAATTAATTGTACCATTAGCACTGTAATTAGCCTATATTAGCTTCTATACATAAATAGAATTTAATTAAAATACTGATTATTAAAGATACAGTAATATTATAGGGATAGAACCCCTTCATGCGTTCCTTGCTGGACCATGCTGGACCCACCTTCTCACCTTCAACCAAAACCGCTCCAGCTACCAGTCCTCGTCCGTCTGCGGGGACCCGGGGAACCCGGACGTTTTGGCCAAAGTCCGAGGCGCGAGCCACCTCAAACTCACAGTGGCCTCGGCAGGCGCAGGGAGGTTTTTGGGTGACGGCGCGCCTTTTTTTGTTCAGCGGTTTTTCGTTGAGAATGCGGAGGAAGAGTGTGAACTACCCCAAAAAATATGCAAACGTTCAAGTGCTCAGCTGAAATTCTCTCTCCAGCTCTCTGGGGAACCGTTGGCTCTCCCGTTCCGGCCTCGCCCCGGGGGGCCTTCCTCATTCACGTCCAGAACGATGAATTCCTGGAGACCCCCGCGCCACACGATGCTGCTTCATGGATGATCAGCGATGGTTGCCACTTATAGTTGGTGACCCGGGTGGGAATGGGACAACACGGCGCCAACCAAAAAAAAAAAACAATGGAAGACAAAACAGTGACTTCAAACCGACCAGTTTTGTCTTCCACCTTCCCAGTGCCCAATCACTAGGCGATGCCAGAGGTCACATACATCACCTGGAACTAACATGGTTACGTGGATGGCATGGCCTCGAGTTCGGAAGACCATGGATTTCTCCACTGCAAACAGGTGGTGAACTCCACGTACCCATGGGGCCGTTCTAGGGAGATCTAGGGAGGACCTACGTCCTGAAAGGTCACATAGACACTGTACAGCGGTCACTCGATGTCATGAGAGCTCCTGGCGGAGCTTGTCTTCGCCCTGATCGTATGACCATCGCCATGGGGTCAAAACCGACCGTATACGGCGACCGTGGTGAAAACTGACCGTTGGGGCCGGGGGACATCCACATTGATCATCTTCCCTAGAACTCCTGGCCCACCTCCGTTTCGAAGATGGTTGGGGTATGTTGGGGTGGGTGCCAGGGGGGTCTAACCACCGGTCACCTGAGGATATGGGACAGGAGCTCTAGGGCTTAATCACTACAGACTTGAGATGATTGGAGGAAGCGTTTGATCTCATTTTCATGGGTTCCTTCCCCTTAGTGAAACTCGACCCTTTTGAGTCCGTAACTGGTCATGTCTTGTCCCATCTTCCCTCCCGCCGTGGCCTCCACCCATCACTCTACCCACCCATCCCACTCTTCGGGTCGGTCCGTGAGCTTCGATGGGATGGCCACTGAGCTGAAGGGTTTCTTCCAATACTCCGAGGCCGCCACCTCCGGGGCGTTGGAGTATTGGCTGGCCAGGCAGGACTGGGGGGTCTGCAGGGTGGGTACATAGATGAGTTGTTTCATCCGGTCTGTGGTGGTCCTACTTGCTTTGCAAGGATGTCTTTTTACATAGAAGATCCAATTTTATGTAAACTATAGATTTATTAAAATTAGTGAACACCTTCTTTGCAGCCATTATATATGGTCCTTGCGAGTTTGCCTACCATGGCCCCAGCTACATACAATACATCCCCCCCCAAAACAAGAAAGCCACTTCAAATCCCCTCTGAAACAGCGAACGCCCCGTGTGTGTGTGTGTCACACCCTGGTTCTAAGGGTTTTCCACCTTTCATCTTTCCACTACCACAGAGGCCGTTTCAACTGACGCAGGGGAGTGGAGCAGGCCTGCAGAGCTCCACTTAACAAAGCTCTCTGCAGTGTCCTGAGGATATCGGCAAGGACGCTTGCCGACGTACCTGCAATCAACTGTTGCCCACGCTGTCCAATCTGATCGGTTTGATTCATGTTCCTTCCACGTTCCTTTCCCTAAACCCATTTTCATGCAGCTGTGCTCGTCACCGCATCGACTGTACAGATCGACCTTGAGGCCACTCGGAAACAATGTTCAACCATACGGTTTTTTGCGGACTTATGCGCCTTTCCGTTCCCTCACCTTCCTTCCCAACGTGGCAATTGAGTCTAACTGAAAACCCAAGTTCGAAGTGTGGACCGCTCAGTCTTCCCACGTGGGTACTGGGTGTGACCCTCCGAAAGGAGGCGCAGAAATCATGCCGGAAATCACCGACCTTCCACTTTTATAACTGTTTTTCCGTGTGTTCAACTTTATCCCTGAATTTCCTGATTTTCGAGCCGCCGGGCTATAAACGATGGAATTCCCACCACTGATTTCTGACCTTTTTTCCGGTTGTGTATCGTTCACTCCATCAACTTTTAACCGCAGCCATTTGACGAATGCTTAGCCTTCGCAGATTTCACACCACAGATCTCAGAGATTGCATTACATGACAGGTCTTCACCACCGTACTTCACTGCACATCCACTCAGGACCTTTACGCCCAAAAAGGGCATGACCTGCATGCGTGCAGGCGGTTTTTGAGAGAAAAAGATCCATGTTTCCACCGCTGCTCTGTGCGCCGATCACGGCTTGTTGTGTGTGTCACACCCTCGTTCTAAGGGTTTTCCACCTTTCATCCTTCCACTACCACAGAGGCCGTTTCAACTGATGCAGGGGAGTGGAGCAGGCCTGCAGAGCTCCACTTAACAAAGCTCTCTGCAGTGTCCTGAGGATATCGGCAAGGACGCTTGCCGACGTACCTGCAATCAACTGTTGCCCACGCTGTCCAGTCTGATCGGTTTGATTCATGGTCCTTCCACGTTTCTTTCCCTAAACCCATTTTCATGCAGCTGCGCTCGTCACCGCATCGACTGTACAGATCGACCTTGAGGCCACTCGGAAACAATGTTCAACCATACGGTTTTTTGCGGACTTATGCGCCTTTCCGTTCCCTCACCTTCCTTCCCAACGTGGCAATTGAGTCTAACTGAAAACCCAAGTTCGAAGTGTGTCAACCCCTGGACCAAAGGTTCACCGCTACTGACTTTTTACTTTTACCCCCGTTTTCCACCCTGAAAGAAATTTCCACCAGCAGGGGGCAGGAGTGCCATTGCAAGTCTCCTGCCAACGAAGACGCTTGCAATTGGCAGTGAAACCAGACCTGATCAGTCTGGCGTACCTGCGAATTTTTTGAACTTTTGACCAAGCCGTTCCCAATCTTTCCTCGTTGTTTTCATGGTGGTTCATGTTTCTCCCCCCAAACCTTTTCCTCCCCAGCAGCGATGCAGCTTGAGCCTTTTCGTCACCGCAGTCAAGGGAAACAACCATTGTTCAAACACCTATAATTTCTCGGACTTTTCGCCATGCTGTTCCACCGCCATCCTTCCCATCGTGGTAACTGAGTTAACTGAATACAATTGTCAGAGTGTGTTTCGCTCAGCCGTCCCACTCGGGTGCTGAGTGTGATCCCCGTCATTGGGGCGCTGTCTCATCGTGCAAGCACTAACTGAACTCACCACCCTTCACAGGAACTCCACTGGAAGTCACCGCCACAACCACCGAATTAACTGCCACAACGGCCGCCGGGCCTCACCACGGGACCTGACAGTTTTGCATCGGTTTGCAGCGGTTTGCATTTTTCATGATTACACTTGCTTTTTTTTTGGAGATGTTTGACGGCTAAGTATTCACATGTGCATGTGCTGCTAAGTATTCACAGGCCGGATGAATTAATCATGCATTTTTCCCCTCCCTACCCCTGGGCCTCCGTTGCTACCCCACCCGCTACTCGGGAAACAGAAGGAAATCGCACTCAACACACTTGTGTGTTGGTGACTTTCCTTCTGTTTCTCCTAGCCTATTGCTAGCTACCCGGGCGGTTTAAGACAAATGTCCCGCTCGCGATCTACTTTCATTTAACTAAGTGGGCCTCGTATCTACCCCTATCTTTCTTTCCTGCCCTCTTAGTCTGCTTTTGTTTTGTTTGCTTTGTCTGTCTTTCTAAAGCTTTTTAGGTGGCTATTAGTCTTTTCGCAGCGCCAATATTGGCGCTATTTCTTCTGTACAAAGTTCCACCTTCACACTTGCGCCGGAATCGGCTGTTTGTGTGATTTTGTGTGTGTCAACCCCTGGACCAAGGGTTCACCGCTACTGACTTTCTACTTTTCCCCCCGTTTTCCACCCTGAAAGAAATTTCCACCAGCAGGGGGCAGGAGTGCCATTGCAAGTCTCCTGCCAACGAAGATGCTCGCAATTGGCAGTGAAACCAGACCTGATCAGTCTGGCGTACCTGCGAATTTTTTGAACTTTTGACCAAGCCGTTCCCAATCTTTCCTCGTTGTTTTCATGGTGGTTCATGTTTCTCCCCCCAAACCTTTTCCTCCCCAGCAGCGATGCAGCTTGAGCCTTTTCGTCACCGCAGTCAAGGGAAACAACCATTGTTCAAACACCTACAATTTCTCGGACTTTTCGCCATGCTGTTCCACCGCCATCCTTCCCATCGCGGTAACTGAGTTAACTGAATACAATTGTCAGAGTGTGGCGCGTTTCTTCATTTCAATTGACGTCCATCCGTCCACCTCCACCGTGCGCTGCGTGGCGGGATCGACCAGCACCAAATGTGCCGCTGCTTTGGTGCAAAGCATCAGCGGGGGCAAGCCGCCCAATGCCTCCGGTCGACCCCAAAGCTTCGCACCCGTGAGGCGCGAATGCATCGCTGCGAGTGCTTTCTCGGAAGTGAGGCAAGGGCAAATCGGAGCACTGGGATTCCATCCGAAACGCACAACAAGGATCAACAAGGTGCTTTGGAAATAAAGACATGAAACGAAGTTGAAAGAAATTCTACATGTTGGGCGTGGCGAGAGAGTGACTTGCTACGAGCTTGCGTTGCCCTCCATCCGCAGAGTCGCTCCTGCGCCATCTTCTTCGGCAAATGCACCAAATCTTCGGGGCCTTTTGTCCCCGGTCGACGTGGGGCGTGTCACGTGGGGCGTGTCACGTGGTCCCGTATGAAGATCGAAGGTCTCTGGGCGAGAGAAAATACTCACCAACACTGCCGGGGGGTCTATCTGTCTGTAGATGAAAAACGAAATACACATACATACAACGATAATGTATAATGATATTTGATATATGGATATATTTGGCACTGAGGAGGTTTTAACCACCCCATGTGGGTTCTGGAATAGGTCCCGTCTTGATCATCACTCAACTCTTGGAAGTGCGATGGCATGCTCCACGTGTGGCCGGCCACCGCTCACCCCTTGGGTGCGGGCAAACGGGGCAAACCTCCACCTGGGCGACCCGAAAGAAACCAGAGAGACATGGTATAGGACTGGTATAGGACATGTGTGACATGTGTCTTCTTTCCGTTCCCCTTGGCCGCACCGAAAAAACATGTACAACATAAGATCCAATGATCCCAACATCTGAAATACCTTTGTTTTGAAGCTCCCGGCTGGGGGACTGGATGGGACTCGTGAGCTAAGCACATGCTACATCGGGTTACTAGTACGGCGCCGTACTACGTCCTATTCTATTTAGCATGTAGCAGCTATGTTTTCTCCGCAAAAATGCTTCTGAACGAGAAAAAGCGGTCAGAGATATTAAACGTACAAGCAACTCGTCCCAAGAACCCATCAAACGTACAAGCCGAGCTGTGCATTTCACATCCGAGCTCCTGGCGCAAGTGGTCCGCTTGTACCGGTACCTGCATCAGGCCGCAGGCACCGGTACCGGTGCCAAAGCGGATGGCGATCTGTCAAGGCCGAGCTTCCGATTGCTGGGAGGTTTGGTTTTTGGTCCATTTTGGTCATGTCCTAGCTACGCCAAACACTCCATGCATGGAATCTTGAGCCCCCAAACCACTCTAAACCACGCAAGGCAATATGGCATACGTGAGAATCCGGGTCATCCAAATGGGAAGGCTTCACTTCCGGATCCCTGAGAACTGGAGTGTCCCAAGTCCGAACTGGATCCCAACTGTTACGAGCTGAAGTCCTTCTGATTTTACTTAGGTTTCAGATGGTTTCAGAAGGCTGAAGCAGGTGAAACCAACAGCAGGCTGAAGCCTTCTGATTTTAACAGCTAAGTTTCACCTGCTTTTGCTTTCACCTTTTCAGGCGATCCCAAGCGATCCAACCCACAGAGCGATCCCCACGCGGGGATCGCAAAGCCCCCCCCTCTTTCGCAGCCGACTCCCGGCGTGAACGATGTGACTAAGGAAGCAGGGCAGGATGTGACTGACCAACAAATTTTCACGATGAAATGCCGCAAGTCACATCTTGACTTGGGCTATCTTGGGCGAGATGTCACGCAAAGACTCGAACATGCACACGTTCGTTTGTCCAAGTGTTCTGTAAAGACTGTATAGTTGCATCTGCAGTGAGATCATCACCCATGTTCGCATTGCTGGCCTTGCTGGCCTGCCCTGGATCGACGTGAAACGACGCGCAGCCCTGCTTTGCAGGCTGTGCTCTAATGGCGCGAGCCTCTCTTACCCAACTCTGACAGCAGCTTCTGAGAGAGACTTCTGAATTGCATCTCCGTCATGCATGCCTCATGGGACAGGTCAGACACGTCGACCGGTCACGTCGGACTGCGAACGATCCGAGCGCGAACGAAGAACCACACGGATCTTCCTTAGACAATGAAGGAAGATCCACATGTGTTCCTATGGTGGAGGATTCCTTACGGATTCTTCCCAGCAACTCCTCAAGTCTACTGTTGTTGTTGCTGCTGTTGTTGTCTTAACGTCACCCATTACCACCCCCCAAAATAGATACAAACGGTTTGCAATTGCAACATGTTCATACATGTTCATATAATGAAAATAGAACATTAACTTGCCTTGTTGTTGGTGCACACTTTCACAGCAAATCAAGAGCTTTTCTCCTGCCGAGCTGCTCGTTGGCACATCTCTTGCTTTACCCCATCCAGCAAAAAACTGGGATGTAGATCGCTGCGTGTCCTTCGCAACTGTCTCCGCAAAGCTTTCTCCACTCCGGATGCGCTCATCTCAGTCTCAGTGGTGAGACTTCTCGATATCTCGACGAAAACCACCGAGGTGAGTCCCTTCCACCTCCCCAGGGAACCTCCGAGGTTTGCTCCCCAGTGGTTCCTGAACTCACTCTGTGTGGAAGTCCAATGAACACACCAAAAGTTGCGGCCAGGATGTCTTTGTGTGGAAAGCCACGGCTTTAGGCGGACAAGTCAGGTCTACAAACACCTCGAGCCTCAACTTTTAACTCTTGCGTGGTATTGGACACCGTAAGAAAGAGGCGCAAAACAGGACCAAATCGGATCAAACATACTAGTTGGTAAGTAAGGCGCCCCCTCTTTCAATTTGATGTCTTCCGCACAAGCTCAGCAGAAGGGAGCTTACTTAGTGGTGCTCTACTGGCTACGAGTCATGAAATCGAACTCCAAACTCTTCAATGATAATATATCATACTAATACTAGGATAACACCTTTGCCTTCGTTTCTTCCTTAGCCCAGTCACCGGCGCCGTGTTGGGTAGCGGCGCCACATGTGGCAGCTTCGGCGCAGCACTGCGGGCGTCCACAATGCTCTGCATGCGGATGGATCTCTCATGGTCTCTCTTCAGGGTCGAAGCCTGGCGGTTTTGCGCTCGGAGTGTCAAATCCCTATAGACTTTGTGTTGAGAAGAGTTGCTAAGATCTTGTCTTCATGTTGCCAAGACATGTTGCTGAAGCACGTGATAGCACGTCTGCAATTAAAGCTCAAAAGCTTGCCAACTCTGTGTGCTTTAAACTCTCTGGCTATAATACCCGTCACTCCAACTCCCTCCCTTGCTTTCAATGAGATTATTGTTACCCCCCGCAGGGCCACAATCGGCAAATTTTGCTTCCCGATACCACCACCGCTTTCCGAAAAATGCCTTGAGCATCTCATAGGCGATCGGATACTTCCAGCGCAGCGTGTCATGCGCCGCGAAGCGGGCGCGGCTCGACGGAATGTCCCCTGCGACGCCCGCCATCCAGCGATGGAATCGCAATGGATCTGGCCTAGAAGGCCGGGGAAATGATAGGAAAAGGTTACAGTCTACTGGCTTACAGTCTACTGGCATCTACTGGCATCTGTCAGTCACCGTGACTTCTCTCTTATTTGACCTGCACCATTGACTGGGGCATAAATTGTCAAACTCCAAACCACTAAAACATCGTCACTAAATTGCTGTTCGTAAAATGCCTCTGTAGACGATGTCATGATTTGATGATTTGGAGCCATAGCTACAGAAGTTGCATTGAAAATGAAAAGGAGGGCGGAGGCCTGGGGAGGCCCTGAACTCACCAAAGTTGCCAGTTGCAACGCTTTCCAACCTGCAACTGCATCACTGGAAAACTGCATGACTGATGACTGCATGATTTCTGCCACTGCCTTCTAGGATAAGTATGAGCCTGCATGCTACCCGCAGAACATGGTGAGGAAGACCGTTCACCACAACGCGGAAACTGCGATCCCCAGATCCAAATGCCGTATGGTCAGGTTCTTGATGGTACACAGTTGCCTGCAGAATTAGCTCTGTTAGTGAAAGTCTTAGAATGATGTCTTGGTCTCAAATCTTGATTAAATCTTGTCGCAGTTCACACTGGGCTCTCCTAAGCTACTAGTAACAAGATGTAACAAGTGCATCCCTACTAGTAGCATGTGCACTATGTGCACTACTTCTAGTAGCAAGAAGCTACTAGGAACAAAGGGCATCGCTACGAACGGAGCGTTCGCACGCTCAAATATCAAGTACCAAAACGCACACGGCAACACCGCCTCACGGCAACACCGCAGCAAAAAAACATCGATGGATCGATGAATCGATTGGGGCGCACGTGGTGTTTTGGGCGTTGTGACTCACCAAGTGTTTTGACTCCTGATGTCGTGCCTTCAGGCGCAGCCGCCGCTGCCGGAAAACACGAAGATATCACATACACGCGGGCGTTTTCTCAGCACGGGGCAGCCCAAAAGCTTGGCTCTTAGAGGAACACCGGGTCACCATCTTCTAAGATGAGCTTCATTCACCCCAACTCACCCAATCCATGAGGAGCGGAGAAAAAGGATAGTGGCGGGTCGTGTCCGCAGTTTCCGTAGGGATTTCTGTAGGACATGGTAGGACAGGAGCTTAGGTGTCCATACCCATCATGCACCTATATATCTAGAACCTCACTTGATGTCCAAAACACCGTCAATCTACCTTGCAACTGGTTGAACACCTTCGATCTTTTGGAAGGCGGTGGCTGATGATGCACTCCTGACCCATCAGTTTCCTTGAAAATTTAAGGTTAACCATTTTCCACCTGTTCAATTGTTGGCGGAGAAAGGAATCCTTGAATCGACAAAGGCTTTCTATGGCCTACACAAGAGGAATGCCAGACCGAGGGGTAACTAGAACAAGGGCACATAGCATGAAGTTGATCCAAGTTGAACACTTCCAAGCAGTTGACACACCTTTTGGTGGATTCGCATTTGTTGATTTCCTGACCATTGGAGTCCACAAAGGGGCGAAAGCATCGAGATGATGGCAAAGATCGACAGGCAACTAACGTCAACTAACTATCCAGGATATTTGGGCCATCGACCATTGCGCTGACAAGGGGCCACCACCCAGTTCTTCAGGAATGCCACAAAGTCCTGATGGCAAGAACAGCTCTTGACCCTTGACATTCTTGACCTATATAAAAATGGTTGGGTTTGCCAACG